AACGATAATTCCAATCTTTATCATATTTCCTTCATTATTGTATTTTGTTTACTTCCTGTGTGGATTTTATTTATTTATTTAATCATTATTCTTCTTCGTCTTGTCTTTTGAATTGATTGAATTGAAAATGTTTAGTGTAATGGGTTATATCGCTCGACCTGTTTGTTTGTTGTGGTTAAATTTCTGGGTCAGTGCTTCAAATTTAGGTTATATAGAAAGTAAAGATTTATGTAACTATAGATTAAAGTATAGTACAGATTTCAGTTTAAGTGTGAATTTAGGTTAAGTACAGATTTCGGTTGCAGTATAAAATAAGGTAGTACAGATTTACCGCACGTGTTAACAGAGATTTGGTTGCCAGTACAGTTACCCCTTGACAAACACCCTTGGTCTTCAACACACACCAACACGAGGAAGTGACCTTTTAGCAGCTGATCCTGAAATTTACACAGAATAGCGCTTAAGGTAAAGTTTACACAGAGTAGCACTTAAGGCGAGGTTTACCTGGTCTAGTGTTTACCTGTTACAGTAAATTAACACTACTAAGAGATGTATACACAGCAGGTAATCCCCCAGTCCTAATAGGGGCCCCGAGTTAGGTTAAGTTAGGTTAGGTTGTTAATCTTTAGTAAGTGAAATAAACTGGGGTGGAGATTCATTTCGTTAATTCGGTCATTATTATAAACTGTTTTCTTCTCTTATCTAACGACTTCTCTTATTCTACCCTTATTCACTTCTACTTATCATCGCCATCGTCATTCCCTTCTACATCCTCCTAATAATGTATATTTTATCTCTATGCACTCCTATTCCAATTCCTTATCTCCCGGTGTGGTCCGTCGGTCACTATCGAGATGTGATATAAGTAGGAAATACCTTGTTGTTATCGCTGGCTGGTTATCTGGAGTTAGTAGTGATTAAGAAAACTCAATCTGGCATCTCAGACCCACCACCACACTCGAGTCAGGTAGCTCACCCACGCTAACAAATAACCCTCCCTCCGTTTTCTATGGTGGGGGAGGGGGGAAGGGGGATGAGGAGAAGGGGAGGAGGGGGAGGAGCGGAGAAGATAGGATAGGAGAAATGAAGGGGAAGGGAGAGGGAGGAGACTAGGCTATGATGTGTTCTCGTTTTCAATACCGCGTCACCTGTAGATACCTCAGATTATTTCACCTAATGAAAAAAACACGATAACCTAATACAACCTAACCTAACTTAACACACCCTAACCAAACATAACCTAACCAAAGCTGCAAATATCGACAAATATCCGTGAAGCGCTGTACCCACACCCACACCTTATACAAATATATGTATATCCTGTAAAGGTTTCTTCACGTCAGCGTCAACGACATAAATATAACATGTTGACGGAAATCGCTGTGACGTTTTTGAGTCACAGCGCGTGAGAATAATGAAATTGAACAGTTCCACCTTGAACAAAAAATCCCAGAAACAAACTAAAGGTATCCAAAATCCTGAAATATGTCCTAATCAATTATAAGGTTAAGTTACAGTATGTTTAATTAGGTTTTAGAAAGGTTTAGTCAGATTAGGTTAGGTTAGATTAGATTTGATTAGGTTAGGTATATACGCGTAAAGTAGGTAAGGTAAGTACAATACCCAGTCCCCCTCAACCTCTCCTCGGCACACTCCCGGACCCTAACACACACACACACACCCTTATCCCATAAAGACTAGTATGGGCCCAGTCCTAATGCCTCGGGTCAGTATGTCCGTGCGCTTCCTTGACCTTTGTCCAGACTCGGTTGCTTGAAAAATGTGGTAAGCCTACTTAACCTGTAGTCGATCTCAACAGTGAACACGTTAAGCGCCGAGTAGTGTGGTTAACACGTGAGCAGTGTTACACAACACTTCGTTAAGTTACAATTATATCATTCTCACAAAAACAATGATAATGAGATGGCCGACTGGGGAGAAATTTTGAAGCACGTGAAATCAATTATACCAGTTTTCTGTGTACGATATAATGTGTACTAATTATAGTATGACACTATCAACATCTGTACTGTTACTTGCATTATTCAAGAAGCAAACTGGCTCCGTGAAAACAGGATAGCAAAATATCCGGCTACCGAGATGGAGACGGTTATTACCGGTAACTGGTGGGCGCGGGGAGAGGTCGGGTGGGTGGGTGGTGGAGGGTCCCAGCGGGCGTGAGGCTGGTGCGTGACGCTACACCCATGACGTCATCAACCGCCACCAGCCTCAGCCGTCAACAAGGGGACGTTTAGCGTGTTGACCTACAACCACAGGGAATTACCAGCCTATTTACACCCTGCTGAGGACCTTGACGCCTCTACCACTCCTCCCCGCTTACCATCCTCCGCCCCTTTCACCCTCCTCTCTTAACCTTCACCTACCCTTACCCACACCTGCAGGACATACGAGGAGGCTACTTAACTGTCAAGGATTCAATCGAGAAACCTTAAGTAACCCTAAAAGGTCCTTCACCCTGTGTGTGTGTGTGTGTGTGTGTGCGTGTGTGTGTGTGTGTGTGTGTGTCGTACATGACTTTCAGAGGAGCAAGTTTGGGAAATTCCGGTGTTTTATCTAATATATTTAAATCTCTTTAAGGGCTTCATGGCTCAGCAGAGAACAAGGCTGAAAACACTTTATTATTATTATTATTATTATTATTATTATTATTATTATTATTATTATCATATTACTACTAATACGATCATTATTACTACCACACCCTAATAATCACTACCATAGACGTAAGCCAAACCAGCTGATAAACTGAACCCCCAAGAATAAAAAGGCTAACGGAAATAAAGCCACAGGAAAAAAAGGTCACATGACTTGTATACATGATGGCATTGCACGTAGGTTAGGTTAGGTTTTTTCCGTGCCTTTTTTGTGACACTTTTTTCCTGGATTCAATAAAATACCCTAAGACACATGACAAAGGAAAAAAGTCCACATACAGAATTTTTTTTACATTGGATACATAATCACAGTATAAGTGGTGTGGTGTGGGTCAGTGGGAGCAGCAGGCGAGTGTGTAGTGATAATAATAAGTCATGTCCACCACCACATCCACACTACTGCCCAGAGATAACAGAATTAACCTCATATCGGCCATCTGACCAATTTATCCTCACCTCCCTCCCCAGTAACCCTAATTAAAACTCATGCAGAATAATATATAACCAAAGGGCATCAAAATTCAGTGAAAATTCCCATATAACGGACTGCTCTCTTTCATATAGTCCGTTAAAAAGAGGTTTCATATATAACGGATTACCCTCTCTAAGACAATTCACTTGAAGGAAGTTTCATATTTAACGGACTTGGATATAAGGGACTAACCTCTCACATAATCCGCTAAATAGAGACTTATCTGTAAATATACCACCAGGATGTTATCATGAGATATAACCCCCATATAGATAACAAGGGAGGAGATAACATGGGTACAAGGCAATATATATCCGACATTTACGATGGGATTAGGGGGAACATTATTAAAACAGAATTACATACACTAAACAGCGTCATATCCACACGTTAAAACACCACAGTATTAAAAAAAAAACGTCACCCAAAAGATAAAAAAGTGATAAGAAGCTATGAAAGATTCTTATCGCTTTGATTAGACAAGGAATAATGTCTTGATATTCCTAACCTGTTTTCCTGGCTGATTGGGACACTTTACTTTGCTGTTCTCACCTACAGGTATACGGTGTAATTATCAGTTACCACCTGTCTGTCACCATCCAAGTTACAGCTACCACCACCCAACAACCCGAAATACAACCAACATCACAAGTAACAACCACGACTAACACGTAAAACCACATTAAATTTCACAAGACCACAAATCAGTATACTAATGACACAAATTATTAACTGTATATACCTGTTATCGATATACCCACATCAACCATGGCTGAATATATCGTTTAATTTAAAAAAAGTTGTTCTATTTTTCTCGTTCACAATTCTAGGAAGGAAGGAAGGAAGGAAGGAAGGAAGGAAGGAAGGAAGGAAGGGCACAGATATACCCCTTCCCAAAACGGCGAAAAAAAATCGGCTAATCTAACCAAAACAAATTTTCCTGCGAGTTTTCCCCTTTTGATCTTTTTCCGGTCACCAAAACAGCGAGAGATACAAGACAAATACACAAGATACATAAAAACAAAGCAAAGAGCTAAAAATAAATAACTTCATGTACGTAGAATTATAGGCTAACTTATCTCTTAATTATACCGAATGAAAAAGTACCTCTATACACGTGGAATTATAGGTTATTATGATGATAGAATGGGGAGTGTAGCCCCGTATCTAGTCATGCGAAATGGCGTCAGTTTAGATCTGTCACCGGACGCACACATCACCACCAACCAACCATCACACTGATTAAATTAATAAATAAATACTATAATTACGAATCCTAATCACAAAATGAGCTATTAAGGCCATCCAGTATAATGTTTTACCGACACGCAGGTATTAAATTAGTTCATTATATACCGTATCCCTCGTATCGGCCTAAGACTTTATAAAGCAATAAGAATGAATAAAAAATATAGATGGGAGAAATCATGAATAACAAAAATATCGTGTATAACAAATCACAATTATTGAATAAGTTATGTATCTACAGTATACTGAAATTATATGGACGATAATTTATAAAGACAAAATCTGAATTATCTATATTATAAATACTGTATATGTAAAGTATAAACAAGGAGAGAGAGACTTTGATAGGATGGATAAGGTTGTATGCCTATGATAGCCAGCGTTTACACCCAACAACAAACACTGGAGTTGTTCAAACATGCTAAAGAGGCGAGACTCCACAACCTTATTACATTCTGCTGGGGAGGCATCAAGACACCTTAGTATGATCCCTAATCAATCACCGCAGCAAATGAACTATCCGCAGTGGAGCGAAAGACACGCTAATATGGTGGAAGAACCCGTCGACCATGAATACATTCCCCAATAATAAACGATAAACTTACGGGTAAACCATCTTGCCGGCACATATAATAGTGGCGGTACAATAAGCCACTATAGTACCTCCTCCACCAAGACCACTAAGGTTGGAACTGTCCACCGCACTAGAGAAGATACTGTACTTCGTTTCACCTGAGGATAGATGAAAGATAACATTCCCCGCGATAAGGATACCACCGTCACTAACACTATACCCACACACCCTCTTGCCACAACAACCAGGTCGTGTTATCGTCTTGTGGTTACTACTGTGGTGGATGTTTTGGAACAGGTCCTGGGTTGAGATGATGGTTGGTTATTTTTCCTCATAATCTACTTCATCATCAACTTTTTCTTTCCCTTTTCTTCCTCTTTTCGCCATCTTCCTTATTTTCTTGACACAACCTTCCTTCTCTCTTTTTCTCATCCTCTACTTATCTCCACTCCCTCCCTCCTTGATATTTCCCAACACTGAAGGATAAGACATTATCAGATCTGTTTATCATCAACAGATCTCAGAATATGCACAGGAATGAATAACAAGAACGAGTAGATATTATTAGATTCCCCTGTTAATAAGAATCAGATCCTTTAAACTTCAACTTCTTAACACGTAATTCCTTAATCTTGCGATCAAGTGTAAGAGTGTTACCTTGATAATAGGGACAATCTTTTCGTTTCCAGATAGAAGACTACATGCGTTACAAATACCAGAGGCTCGATGCATTGTCTTGTCTCAACTATTATGGTTACGCCTTCAATACTATAAAGCGGATTGATTACACTGTAGGAATCGCGAACTCATCACCATCGTCTTTCAAGTTCATCTTACAATACTGCTCGTTAGCTATCGTGTATGGAAGATATATCTCTCATAACACACACACACACACACACACACACACACCAAGGTAAAATCCCCATGTATCCGCCTTCCACGAGACTAAAAAAAAATTAACACAAATATTGCGGTAATCCCAGTGCGTCACCACCTTGACCAACCAGGCAGATAATGTGGCAACTTAAAGATATAAATAACATTGATATACACCGCCACAATACAGAAAGATTAATTTAATGCTTTATAGTAATACACTCAGAGAGCAAATTCTTAGTGATAAAAAATACAACAGGTATAGGGAAATCAAGCAAGCAAGCAATCATTTATATCTCACTCATGGAAAGGGATGGGGTAAGGAGACAGGCAGGAGATGGTGGAGTGTGAGATGGAAGGGTGGGAAGACAAAAGTGGATCAGGGAGCGAGCGGTGAGTGATGAAACAGTGGGAGAGATAGATGGAGGAGTGGATGGCCAGGAGGTAGACAGTGGAGTCATCAAGGGCGAAGGGAAGGAGGGGCGTGTCCCTACTGTAGACCACCAGGAAGGGGAAGGGGTAGCGTCAGTAGTCGTCGATGGGAAGGTTTAAGTGTCTGGATCTAGGTGTGTCAATCGTACGGGTATACAGAATTCATCAGGTCGGAGGGTATGGGTTTGACTGGGGCATCAGGGTTATGGAAGCGTGGGCATGAGCATGAACGAGGGCGTGGGCGCCATATATCCCTGAGAACTACAGTAGCGACACACACGGTGGGAAAACATAGTGGCGTGTAGTATGGAGGCGTCACGTGGGAAGGAGAGGTCAGAGGTCACGTTTAAGCACCCTGAACGTTGACGACCTTTGGCACGAGACAGACCAATAAACTAACTAGTTCCCCGGCCTGTGTTGGGGGTAAACCTGGGAGCCGAGGTAGTTGTGGTGGCTAGAGGATGTGGTGGTTGTGGCGGGTAGTGGCGGTTGTGGTGGGTAATGGTAGGAGATACGTAACACTAATAAACGTCAGAAAGGATGAAGTTAAAACACCAACAACCAACAAAGTGGATTCTTGTCTTCAAGCTTCAGGTCGTAAAGGTCTACCCAGCTTATGAAACACTATCTCTAGCTTCGTATTCACTATTACGGTCATTACTTCAATACTTTTATGGGATACAGTAATATACTTTTTTTAATTATCCCTCCCTCCCTCGTTTTGACTATTTTGATTGAAAACTATCATTACTTTCATACTTTGGTGAGATACTTTTTTAAGCTATCCCTCTCCTCGTTGTAACTATTATAGGAAAACAATGTCACTCTCAATGTCACGTCAACGTTAAGAGAGAAATAAAAAAAAAAGTTTGCCGAATTAAAGTGAAAATGGGGAACACTCATATCTACCACGCATTGTAATTACCACCATTACCGCATGCCCAGTCTCTCTCTCTCTCTCTCTCTCTCTCTCTCTCAGCAACTTCCAGGTGAATCAGGTCGAGGCTAGCTAGTGTAAACCTCCAATGTGGGTGAGAGAAACACAAGGCGGCGTGGGAGGAGTGAGAGTGGAAGAGGGGTGATGTGGTAGGAGGAAGAGGAGGGGTAATGTGGGAGAAGAAATGTGGGAGGAAGAGGTGATGATGGTGTGGGAGGAAGGAGGTGGTGATGGTGTGGGAGGAAGGAGGTGGTGATGGTGTGGGAGGAAGGAGGAGTAGGAGAAGGGAGGGGGGCTGATGTAGGAGGAGGAGGGAGAACTAGCATGGGAGAGGATAGTGGATCTAGTGAGGTAGAGCAGAAAATACATCCAATGAAAGAGGAAGATTCATGGTGGAACAGAGAGGAATATTTATGGAAGAGGGACGTGAGTGTTGTGGGAGAGATGGAAAAAGGAGTAGGACTGTCATGTGATTGTATGCGTTTTCACGTGATTTCTTTATGTGATCTGTTTTAATCTTGTGATTTGTGTGTTATTTGTAAGTTTCTGTGGTGCCCTTACATGTACACACACACACACACCCACACACAGACACACCCACACCTATCAGTCTCCCACACATCACAAGAGATCCGCCCTGATGTAAAAACGATGAAAGGAGAGATAGAGAGATGAAGAAAAGGGAGATAGGAGAGAAGTTAGAGGGGGCAATAGAGTGGGGTGGGGAGTGGAGTTAGATGTTAATGAGGCGGAGTTGGAGTGGGGTGAGAGGGTGAAAGGGGAATGAGAGAAGTGGGGAGAGGAACAAAATGAGAGAGGCCAGACCTTGATGTGTGTGTGACCCGCCAGAGGAGTCAAGTGTACCAGTGAAAAGTTCATGACAAAGGTTCATTGTTTGTCTTTTTTTTTAACTTTTTTTTTGGGGGAGATAAAGATGCCCCACTCCACTCCCATCCTTACACCCCCCGCCCCACCAGTTCATTTCACATTAAAACTAATCATTCTATGGTAACCTCACCTACCACAACCTAACCCCACCTACCACAACCTAACCCCACCTACCACAACCTAACCCCACCTACCACAACCTAACCCCACCTACCACAACCTAACCCCACCTACCACAACCTAACCTCACCTACCACAACCTAACCTCACCTCTAACCTAACCCCACCTACCACAACCTAACAACCTACCACCACCACCTAACACCCACCTAACCCCACCTGCCACAACCTAACCCCACCCACAACCCAACCCCACCTAACACCACCTAACCCCACCTACCACAACCTAACCTCACCTACCACAACCTAACCTCACCTACCACAACCTAACCCCACCTACCACAACCTAACCCCACCTAACCTCACCTACCCACAACCTAACCTCACCTACCACAACCCAACACCTACCACAACCTAACCCCACCTACCACAACCCAACCTACCACAACCCAACCTCACCTACCACAACCTAACCCCACCTACCACAACCTAACCCCACCTACCACAACCTAACCCCACCTACCACAACCTAACCCCACCTAACCTCACCTACCACAACCTAACCCCACCTACCACAACCTAACCTCACCTACCACAACCTAAACTAACGCCACCAAGTAACATTATGGTCTTTAGTCATCAGGTGAAATAAGCTGGGTAGGGGGGGCTAATCTTCAGGTGATCCCAGGTAATCAACAAGAATCTGGTCGGTAATTATTAATATGCCAAATAACTTACACACGTTTAGAAGTTTAGAGTTCAAAGTCGACCGTGTTTGGGCGTGGTGCAAGGAGAGAAGGAGCAACACACACACACAAAATGAAGGAGAGAGAGAGAGTGAGAGCCAAACAGACACACACAGACAGACAGACAGACAGACAGACACTACACTAACCAGTCTTAACTCACCGAGAAGCAGTTGACAGGTGAGACAGAGGGCAGGTATTTACACTAGTGGGCGCTACCTGTAACCAGAGAAAACGGGTTTATTAAAGTCTGGGTCTCCTGTGTTAAGCTCCGTGACATTCAGTACACGCTGGACGAACATGGTAAACGTAAAGGAATTTTTTTTTCTTATTTTAAGTTTATAAATAATAATAAGTTAAACTGTTTGTTATTCTATGTATACAATAAATTTCTAATGCTGTTTTAGAAATGCCAAATTATTTTACATTTTTACTTACACTTGTTTGTATAAATAATTGTGCGTGTGTGTGTGTGTGTGTATGTATGTATGTAAGGGGGAAGTCACAGGTACGATCCTAAAGACAGGTTATGTACAATCACCCAAAAAAGTCCCGTCGCCTCTCCCGCTATTCCACGAACCCCGAGATTCAGAACGGTGAACCCGAAGCAGTTGACAGTAATACATTATTCTGTCCATAAAAGCTTCGGATTCACAAGTCTGAATCTCGGGGGTTCGTGGTTCAGGATGATGAGTTGAATGTACATTACTGAAAATGTTTGCTTTAAAGGGAACACCTGAAGATTAGCACCCCAGTTTATTGAATACCCTAATCTACCTGGGGGGGGGGAGATTAGAATTAAGGTGGCTAATCTTAAGGTCAAATAAGCAGGGGAGGGCTAAACTTCAGGTGATCCCAAGAAAGTGGGTTCCTAAAATCATAGTGTGACTAACCTGCCGTCCACATAAGGTGTTAGTTTCGCCTGAGGCAGATCTAGACTAAACTGCACGTGACAGCTGTGACCATCATCTCCAACAACTCCCTCACACTCCACTGTCACCACCACCTCCCCAACATTCATCTGTCGTCGTCATCACCACCACCCACCCCTGTTACCACCACCACCTCCCTCACACTCCACTATCACCACCATCTCCCCCATACTCCAACAGTACCACCACCTCCCCAACACTC